AAAATCTAAAACCCCATGTTAAAGATATATAACAGGATAAATTTTGTTATATACCTATATATGTTATGTAAACATTTACATAACTTTATGGGTAAATTACTAAGTGTTCTGTCTACTCACTTGCGTGAGAAAGAAGTCTGGTAAAATATACAACTAAGGTGTAAACATAGATGAAAAGTGTTGAATTATGGATTTTACATTATTTGTTCTGATTTTCTAAAATGAATACATAAGAAAAAACAGTGAACAACAAATAAAAGTGATGGTTATATCAAACAGTTGCAATGACTTCCATCCTCCTGTCCTGACCACAGGAGCAGGGTTCTAATAGAGAAGTCCCTGAAGGCTCAAGAGGTGGCCTAGCAGAGAATCCAACACAACACATTTATCTGCACTGAGGGTGATGCACTCCACAAATGAGAGCTCACTGAGTAACCTCAGTAAGAGAGGAAGAGAGAAGAGGAACAGGCAAGACTTGTGAAGGGAAGGATACATTTGGAAGGCAGAAATAGCTACCCTAAAGTCCTCAGGGACATGAGTGATCAGTCACTGAGAGAGGAAGAACAGCAGGAGATGGACAAAGGAGAAATAATCACAAGGAGAAACAAATGTAGAAATGCAGCAGCGGAATCATCAAGGCAGAAGTGATGTAATCATAGAATGACCTTTAAATCTCTGAATTTGAGGTAAGCCGAATTCTATAGCATTTAATGATAAAGTACTTTTCTACTTGGCATTTCTACTTCCTTGGGTATCCACAGGAGGATCAGGGTTTTTAATATATATCCAACTGTTACACACATGAGAGAAGGGCAAGGACATCTTGACTAAGTGAATGTGGCTTCTCTGGGGACATGCAACGAAACAGACAATACCAAGAGATCCTACTCACTTCAGAAGAAACCCGAGAAGCCAAGATGTCATAGCAATATCCTTGTGGCCCTAATGGGCCTCACACTATTCTTCTCTTCTTTCTTGGTCTTTTCTGGACAGCTCTCTAGCCCACTCAGGGAAGACCACCAGCTGCTTGGCCTCACAGTCCAACACTACCTGTTGCCCAGAAGCCAGAGAACACAAGTAAGGCTGTGGAGGAGAACTGGGAGGCAGTGCAGACTAGAATGGAATGGCCAACTGCATGGGCTACATTCAAACTCCAGCTTTGCCACAATCCTCTGTGTGACCGTGAGTGAGTTAACCTCCATGTGTGTTTCCTCACCGTTAAAACAGGCAAATAGTGCTTATAATCTAGGATTGCTCTGAGGCTGAAGTAAGGTAGTAGAGTATTACTCATGGAGCACTCAGAAAAAACATTTGGCCAATCATTAAACTAAACATACAAAGTCTTGAGCAACGAAACTTCTCTGCTCATTTCTGTTAGGAACAATGTGGCTCCCATCTGGGCCCGTTTCTACAACTTTAAATCATAATGATCATCTCTTTTTGACCAAAAGTAAGATTAAATAATCCATGAGAGAGCAGTAAAACAAAATTAGCTCCAAAATAAAAAGTTAAAATGTGCAACACTGGTTCCCTTGTTTAAATATGCATTCTTGAGCCCAGCAGGGTGGCCAGCGGGGAGCAGGCTGCTCCCCAAGTGGCCATGACGTCAACCCTTCCCTTCCAGACAGGGCTCACCCAGAGATCTTTACCACCATCGAGTCTGAAGCTCCCGTTTCAACAGTCACTTAGCCCCAAAGTTTTGAAACCCACTAATGAAATGAAGCTGGAGGGTCACAAGCAATACCTTTGTCTTTTTAAGTGAATTGGCAGAAAATGGAAATTTCCAGACGGTATTACCTGTGATATAAGTAACATTTAGAGTGTTCTACATGTACTCCTCATATGTCAGTTTAAAATGCATTCTCACTGGGGTCAGTCAAATCTAAAAGCTTATTGCCAGGTACCCAGTCCCCCTCACTTGGGGAGATAATCAGGAAATGCTTCCTGTTATGTCTTCCATTTGGATGTCCCCCCAAAGCCTTATGTGCTTACAGGTGGGGCTTTCAGAGGTGGCTGGATGTAGTGTGTGATGCTGGAATTGATTCATGGTGCAATGCTCAAGAACACTAGGATTAAGCATACAAATGTTCCCCACCCTAAGCAATCTGGATAAAAGGGGCAGGAAGATGCTGTTAAGGTCCCTTGTTGCTTTTGCTGTCTTTGCTTGAAATGAACTGGTTCTCCTCTGTGATGCCCCTCTACCATGTGCCACCGTGCCCTGGAGCCAGCCAATTACGGACTGAAACCTCTATAAACTGTAAGTCAAATAAACCTTTGCTCCTTTAACTTGTGCGTGTTGGGTTTTAGGTTCAGCAATGAGAAAAGTAACTAAGAATTTGGCACCAGAGAAGTGGAGTTGTTACTATGACTATACCTAATCATGTGGTTTAAGATCTTTTGGGGCTGGCTTGTGGGAAGGGGAAGTTAGGAAAGGTTTGGAGAGGCTGGCTGGAAAAGTAAAGCTGGAATGCTTGTAGCTGTACTTGGTGGGAAATGCTGGTCAGAGCTCAGATCAGAAGGCTGACAGAAATCTTACCAGTAAAGACCAGGCTTGGGAGGTTTCTGTTGGGAAGGACTGCAATGTCTGTTGGACTCCAGATGATGTGTTATGTATCTTGGCAGAAAGTTAGTCTGCATTTTGCTTTTCTAGAGACTTTGCCCAAGACTGAGATTAAGAGCAGCAGACTAATCTGGCAGAAGAAATTTCAAAGCAGTCTAATGTTGAGATGGTGGCATGGCTACTGTTGGGGGCTTTTAGCCAGATTTATGTTGAGAATCAAGAACAAAGAGCCCAGCAGAATGATTTAGTGTTTTGAAGTCATCCAGAAATGAAGCTTCAGTTAAGTTGTAGCCTGCAAAGATGGAACAGAGGAGAAATTAGTGGCTGAAAAGACTAGCTACAAAAAGCCAAGTACTATAGAAGATAATAGAAAAGACAACCTGAGAACATCACAAAAAACAGCAGGACTCCACTCTTTACAGCCTCAAAACTGTAAAGGTGAAAGACTTTGAGAAGAGAGCCTGAGAGTACCATGTTTAAGAATGGCAATGACCTAGGGAAGTTGCTCCTTGGGATTAAATTCAGAGCACTTAGTGAGCCAGGCAATTGATCTGTCCAGCCAACGGAGGAAAGTCTGGCTACTGCTTTGGCTGGCTGTAGACCTTGGCATCATTCATGTGGTTGATTATAGGTGCATGCAGAATGCAAGGGTCATGGGGTCAGGAAGACCTCCACCCAGATTCCAGAAGGCCTGGGAGGACAGGCAGTATGCCCTGCAAAGGGCAGTCAGTATGTGAAGCTGTGTGAAGCCAAAGGTGCACTGGAGGCCCCAGAAGTTGGATCTTCTGAGAAAAACTGCAAGGGGGGAGCAGAGCTGACCCAAGAGAGAAGCCACGGAAGCTACCACTACCAGAAGTGCCATAGGGGCAGAGCCACCCAAGCCCTTTGGAGTTGTCAGATTGCCTTAGATGCTGCACACAGAACTATAGGACTTAAATGTTTGTCCTGATAGATTCTGGACTTGTTTTGGCCCACCCCTGCCATTTGTACCTTTTGGAATGGTTATGTCTATCTTGTGTCAATGAATGTTGGAACTGTTTAACTTTCTCTTCATTTGCATAGGGCCTCGTAGCTAAGAACGCGCCTCCAATCTCAGAGACTGGACTTTTCAGCAATGTTGAAACTGTTAGAACTTTGGCAGCTCTTGGAGATAGACTAAAAATGCTTTTTTGCATAAAGGAATACGCATGAGTCCTTGGTGAGGCCAGGGTAAAATGTTATGGTTTGTGTCTAAATGTGCACCACCCCCAAACCTCATGAAGTCATAGGTGGAGCTTTTTCAGAAGGCAGGATCTAGTATGTGATGCTGCGATTCATGGTTCAATAGTATGCTCAAGGACACCAGGATTAAGTGTGTGAATGCTACCCACACTAGGTCTAGATAAAAGGGGCAGGAAGATGTTGGTAAGGCCTCTTGTTGCTTTTGCTGTCTTTGCTTGCAATGCACTGGTTCTCCTCTGTGATGCCCCTCTATTACAGGCCACTCTGCCTTGGAGCCAGTCAACTATGGGCTGAAACCTCTATGAACTCTAAGTCAAATAAACCTTTCCTCTCTTAACTTGAGGATGTTAGGTATTTTGTCTCAACAACGAGAAAAGTAACTAAGACACTGTCTGAGCCATCAGAGGGTGCCCAAGACAGAGCATTCACTGAGAGGGTTTCAGACACTGATTTTCTCCCAGGCCAGGCCTGCACAATGCCTACCTTCTGCTGAGGACTTCATATCCCAGCTATAGGAATGTAGCCCGGAATCTCCTCTCCACCATCAAACCTGGCCTCTTTCCTATCTGGTCCCCTCCTCAACTGTCCTAGGGCTTCCTTCCATCCAGTTCTTGTTTCCCAGTCATCTGCTTTCGATTTAGCCTACTTCTTCTCACCTGTGGAGCCTTTCCCATACTGTACTTTCTCCCTTCTTTCCCTGTTTTGCCCTACCCTTTACCTCCTTTCCCAGGATACATACACCACACACACACACACACACACACACACACACAGATTCTTTTCAGACAATTCAGCCTTTATTTTTGAAAATAATTCTGTAGATTCCACTTTCTTCCATGTTCAGGCAATAAAAACTCACAAATCCCTCTCCAACCTGCCATTTGCTCCTAGCCTGTGAGGATACGGGAATGTAGTACCTGTTCTAGGGCCAGTGCTATCCTGATCTCAGCTACTCTTAGACTGAGAAGGCCACTAGAAGCCACAGTCCTCAGGAAGGGGCCTGTGCACTAAACCACAGGGGAAAAAGGGACACAAGGAACGCATTTGTCTTCCGCCAAGCCAGCACAGAATCCACCTAAAAGAGAGAGGAGACTAATTTTTTTAGAAGGGGGTCCAGGTATAGTAGCTCTTTGAGGCAAGAAATGGGTGGTGGAGTAAAGGTTTTCCTCCCACCACCTTACCCCTGACAGCTGGGCATGAGCCAAGGAGGAGATCTTGCTTTTCTTCCTCCACTTTTCAACTTCAACTACGAAGTGCTAGGCTGCAGAGAAAGAAGAGCTGAGACGAGATCAGTGATAAGGACAGAAGGGCAGCAGACAGTAAACCCTGACAACCTATCAACTCTACCTTGTCCCTGCAATTAAACCCCTCTTGTTAGCCTTGTTTTGGCCACAAATACATTCTCTTCTCCCATAACACAGTCTCATACTGGGGGAAGGTGGTAAAGGAGGAAAGACATAGGAGGAGACTCGTGCCCTGGCTGGAAGAACCAAATCAAAGAGGCTTAGTTAAGAAAGCTCAAGTTGCCAACTTCTCTGCAGACCATAGGAAAACCTCAGGATATGGACATCCTTGGCCCCAGTAAGGCCAAGTCTCCTCCTACCACACAGTGGTTTCTTGCATAATATCTCCCAGCACACCTCAGAATGGCTGTTCTTCTCTGACTCCCTTGAGAACGGGAGAATAAGCCTCACTTTATTATCATCTGTGCACTTGAATGCTACTCAAAAAAAAAAAAAAGATAAATGGACCCAACAGGGCAACACAGACGGGACTATACAGTCCAGAGACTGTAATCCCATCTTAGCTCATGACATGGCAAGGAAGAGATCCCAGAGGGAAAGGCAGGTGCTTTCCTAATTCCAACTAGGATCATAGCCATCCCAGGTCTGTGGGGGCGCTAGATGGACACGTCGGCCCCGGAAATGGAAGGTGACAATGCCTCGGTAGCCAGCCCTGGGAACACCTGACTTGAGGTCATCCATGACACCCAGGGCCTTGGCAAAGGCCTTGAAACTGTCCCTAGCTGTATACTGCACCCGCACCTCTCCCAGCTCCTTTCGATCATTGGTCCTCACTTTTTCCACCTGTAGCTGAGGAGCACCATAGACTCGGGCAAGGAAATCACGGTCATAGGCCTCCTGCTGAAGGTACGACAAGTCCAGCTGAGTGAAGGGCACAAACTGCTGGTTCAGCTTTATGAACTTGAGATGCTGGTCAAAGAACTGCCCGTGGCTCACACCCTTTCGGCCAAAGGTCATTGTCCTTGAAATTTCAGGGCGCACACAGGCCCGCCCCTTCCGTTGCTCAGGTCGGCGCATCCAGTCGTCCCAGAAGGCCTTAGGCCACTTGGGCTCCAGTTCAGCCCACAGTTCAGCCAAGAGCAGCCAGCCCAGGCCAGGAAAAAAGTCTGTGCGATAGAGAAGCTCTGGCTTACTCAAGTCCACCATCTGTTCCTTGCCATTGTCATTCCAGGCAGACACACACCAAAGAGAGGGGTCACTCCTTAGCAGTGGGTAAGTGGCCTGGAAATACTCAAAGAAGTCTGGTGCCACTTCTAGATCATCCTCCACCACCACAGCCGCAGGGAACTTGAACTCATGGAAGATCTGGCCCAGTGCCCAGTGATAGTGCCTGGCGATCTTGTAGTAGCCCTGGAACTTGCGGTGGTCCGGTTGCACGGCAATATTGCTCAGGTCAGGCTGCCGTATGTGCGTGATTGCACTGCCATAGGAAGCAATGACCTGGGCCGTTTCCTCGTGTCCACAGTCCTGGCTGACAATGATGGGGAAGTGCTCAGCTGAAGGCCGATAATGCAGCAGCTTGTCCAAACAGCGGCGGACAGTGCTGCGGTCACAGGCAATGACTAGGATGGGAATTACAGCTGGAGAAGAGGTCACAGGCACATGAGGCTGGGCAGGAGGAGCTACAGTGGGGACCCTCCACCGCTGACTCCACAGAGCATGGTGCTCCCTGATCTCCTGCAACAGCCCCCGCTGACGCTCCAACTCCACCTCGGCATCCTGGGCTAGGCGGATCACCTCTCGGGTGAGACTGGCAGGGTCATCATTGAGAGCATTGTCTAAAGGTGGCCGGCCAGGTGCTGGGCGTGTCCAGAAGAAGAGAAGCAGCAAGGCATTCCAGGCTACAAAGAGGATAGCTCCCCACAGCACAAGCCCTGCAGATTGCTTCTTCAGCATTCTGGCCCCCACCGGGGAGGGCAGGCAAGGGAGGGCTCGAGGCTGCCCCTGAGTTGCCTTGACCACAATTCTAGAGATGCTTCCCCTGGCCTATGGGATTAGGAAGCAGTCATGCACCTAAAGAGAGAAGAGAGAAAAGCCAACTGTCATCATAAAGGCATATGGCTCCACACTTTCATGGGGTATAGGAATGTGGAGGGTAGGAACAGGTGAGAAAGTAAGAGAGGCAAGAAGCAGAGGTTGACTGGAGGCCTCTCAGTGAAGAGTTGCCCTTCCCCTAATCTTAGAAGGCCATGCTTCCATACTCCAAAATGAACGTGTTAGCCCTCAGAAAAGCAATCATGTTTAAGCAGGAGGTAGAGTTGATGCTGGTGGAAGTGAGAGATCAAAAGAAGGCAAACTTTCCCTTTCCAACCTGACAGATTTCACTTCCATCATCCACAGCTTTGGGGGAAGAGGGAGAGGTGAACCATTTATCTCCCACTCCCCAAATTAAATTGCTGATTTAGAAATCAAATATCACACCTCTTATTAAGGAAGCATTCTCATGAACATCAGGAGTAAAGCCAGCTGCCCATGAACTCCATGGCTACTAACATTCTGTTGAAGGTATCTGCCAATGCAACTGGACTACAATTAAAGGCAGAAAAAAAAGTGAAGCTATCTCTGTCTGCTAATGCTGCAAAAGTACGCTCTAAAACTCTAAGACAATTAAAGATAAAACTAAACCAAATAAAGAATCGAGCAAGGGAGTGGGATATAAAAACATACAAAACTCAACAGCCTTTATAAATATATAAAAGATGAGAAAACCTATTTATAAAAGCCTGAAAATGATGAAATATTTACAAAATTTAAGAAGCTTCCAAAAACCATATAAATAAAACTATAACTCCTAAAAAACAAAAAAGGAGACTACAATATCGTTTTCTCTTAGGACAGTACAGCACCATCAAAAATTCCAATAAAATGATTTTTTTATAAATCTAGACAAACTGATACTAAAGTTCATATAAAAAAACTAAAACACACAAGACTAAGAAAATAATTTAAAAATAATGCAAATTATAAACCCTCTATAATTAAAACTGGTATAGGTAAATAAATAAACTAACCAATGGAATAGAAGTTAGACTCCAGAAATGGATGAATTACACACAGAAATCTAGTGTGTGATATTTACAATACTGGGGAAAAGAAGCTCTTATTATATTTTTGGTACCAGGGATCCAACTTGGGTCCTCATGCTTGCGAGGCAGGCGGCAGAACCACTGAGCTAAATCCCTGGGTGTAAGCTCTTAGTATTAATAGAACTATAATTATATATCCATTTGGAAAAACTTACAGTGAGATCTATTCACAAAAGGACAACACTGAAGTGGATCAGAAATCTAAATATAAAAAATAAGATTATTATAAGGGGCATTAAATGGAAATTTTAGGGAGTGTGTATATGTTTGTTATATTGATTGAAGAAAGTTTCACAGATGTACACGTAAAAATTTAAATTGCACCTTTCAAACATGTGAAGTTTATTGTATGTCAATTATACCACAACAAGACTCTTTCTAAAAAGATGTTACTAAGTAAAGTGACAGAGCTGGAAAACAGAAAGTAGTTTAAAGTTTTGGTATTAACTGATTGATAATTCCTGTATCACATAAGAGAATATTCCATTTTGGAAAATAGAGACTAAAGTGTTTAGAAGGTCCATGACCGATGCCATCAAATGGTCAAGAACAAAAATGTGGGTGCATGTGTGCATGTATACATGCAGCAGAGAGAACAAATGGAACAAGATGTTGATAACAAGTATATCTCGGTAAAGAGAACACCCACTTCTTAAAACATTTTTATTTTTGCAACACTTTTAAAGTTTGAAACTATTTTCAAATACAATTTTTAAAAATAAAGTATGGGGACATGCCCACGACTCTGAATAGCTTCACTCATCAAAATGGTCCTAGCTGGGGACATGGATCACGTAAGAGCTAATGTTTGCCTTGAATTTCTTAATCGTTTCATGACATGCATCACACACCTGCTCTCTGCTACAGTCTTGAAAGGGACCAGGAAACACAGTCAGTAAAAAGAATGCATGGCCCCAACAACCCTCCACACTACCAGGCTACATTACTTGAAAGGATCTAAAACATCCTCTAAATCCCAGACAGCTGCCACTCCAAATCACATGGCTTCCTAGCATTCTTAATTTTGGTCTCAACTGTACATATCCCAAAGCTTCAAGTATGTACTCTTTAGTGCCAACTGCTCTGTAAGTTACCCTCTGGCTTACAGCCCAGTTCTCTATTCTAGCCCCAACCTTGGGTTCTAGATCTAATATCTGTAGCCTTGCGGTCTCAATCTAACAGATCTGGTAAGAAAGAGCTTATCCTGAAGAGTCTGAAGGGGCCTGGCTTCTGTCTACCTCCTGGAGAGTACCCTAATTCTTGCCTGTGTCCACCACCACGTCTCCCTCTAGAAATCAATCACTCCCAGTTGCACAGCATGTCTTCTCAGAAACCTGAAGACCATTTCTGCTAAACTATGTAATTAAGTTCCTATTTTATCAGGACCTATATACCAGTTGCCTAGAATAGAGAAACAGACTTCCAGCTTCTTCACTCTCAGATTGTGGACAATGTTGGAACTTTCCTTCTACTCTAATAGCCAGGATTCTTTCTCTCTTGCCTCCTAAATAACTGAGCAAGAAAAAAGTGGCTTTAGGTAAAGGGAAAGAAGAGATTCAACTTTATTAAATGAAACACTGTCCTCAGGGATAATGAACAGACTGTCTCTAACTTACCAATAAGCCATCTGTGATCTACAAGTGGTGAAACTCCAACAGATCACCTCCTCTCTACTCTTCAGATGACTTGTGCACCTTTCAAAAGTACTTTACTTTTCATTTTTTAGACTTAAGAATTAAGGAAACACACCCACTTGAAGAGGCCTAGAAGAGTTCTCTATTAACTTTTCAAGCCATGCAAATAAAAGCAGTCTTCAGATAACCTCCTCAGCCAAATGGATTCTTTCTAGTCTGCAAACATATAGAGGGGCTGAATCATCCACAGGAAAAGCTACCCTATTCTAGTCCCAGCCTCCACCTTAGCCCTCGTGCCTTTGTTCTCCCTCCCATGGCATTTTCTATCAATTCTCCAAGAGAAAAATTTCCTCTTGCAATAAAAGAACATATTCTATTCCCAGGCTCCACCTGTTTCTCCAGAAAGACCTAGTGCTGCTTTCCTGCTGTTTATCTGTATATTCCTCAGGGTTGAACCCTTAGTTCTGTTTATAAGTTAACAGAATATGCACTTATACAAACCAGAGTGCTTCACTGTGTTCAGGGGATGGCCAAACTCAGGTCTCGGCCAGCAGAGATTACCCATTCTTCCAGGAGGCACTGCTCAGGCTACCACCAGAAAGGTACAGGAATCACAAAGCCAAGCCAGACAGCCCAAAGGCAAGGAGTAGTAATTTTCTGATATAAAAGATGGAAATCAGAATACTTTATGGAGTTGCTGTGAACAAGGGGTTTGACAACAGTAAACGGTAGCCACTCTATTAGACTCACTTCTGGTCCTCTCCCTACCCCCAGGGCCTTTGCATGTGACTGCATGCCCCGTCTGCTCCTCCTCCTTTTCATCATCTAACAGCCCTAATTTGTAACTACCAAGATATCTTCCTCAATGCCTCTGGACAGTATGAATCCAGCTCCCCTTCAAAATCATCAGTGCCACTGCAACCACTTGCTCAATGTATGTGAAATCCCCTCAGCTGAAAGCTGTACAAGGAAAGGGACTGGCTCCACCAGCTCTGCCCAGCTGCTTTGCTAGAACCCCCAACACTCAGATGGGTGTGTGACCTAAAAACCAGCTTTAGTGTGGTCCACACATCCACAACCCCTCAAATGTAATTCCAAATAAAAAAAGTGCTGAAAAATAGTTTGCTAAATTCATTTGGTAATAAAATCTCACTTTGGCAAAATCTGATCTGATCTAATGTGAGGTTATTTATAGTCTTTATTTATCCTACTTAGTGTGTCTACTCATATATTTTGCTATAGAAATAATCATGGTGGATTACAGTGAATGGCTTCAGACCTCGTAACACACAGCAAATATACCAGAATTGTTTTAAAATACAAAAAATTCTAAATTCTCAATCATCTAGCCCCAAAATTTCAGATTATAAAAATGGAAGAGAATCACTCATTCACTTCCAGGATCCTATTTCATGCCCGCAAATCCTTTAACCTTACCCCTGTCCTTATTATGAAATACTGTATTAAGTCTGAACTCTTGATGTAGCTTCCCAGCTGATTTGCCTACAGCTTCTCTCTGAACAACTTTCTCAATAGCATAGAGTATTCTCCTGAAGTACTCACCCGATCACAGCATTAACCTGTCTTACAAATCAGGCTACCAATGACCACATTAAAAAAAAAACAAAACTCAAACTCCTCACAATTTTTAAGGGCCTTTACAAGACACTGACTTAAATTCTTTAGAACTTCATCTCCAGCCATGAACCCGAGACCTCACACTCGCCTCAGATGGCAGATTTTCCCATTAAGTACACCTGTACATTTTCATATTTTTGATCCAGCTAGTCGCTCATTCTAAATGCTACCCACAGCCTGATCGGCAAGCCACGCACACAATCTCAAAGGCTCACTTCACAAGACTACAACCATAACACCCTTTTGTGAGTTGCAAGACTAGTTCATATAAGGCAATACAGTTCTGACCTGGTGCTCTTAAGATACTTGCTCTTGGAAGCCTACCACAGGGACTGGACATCTAACTCTGATTTTCAGAACACCTTTAGGGAAGTAAGAGAGCCGATGCACACCACTACGTGCACCATGGTGGGAGATGTGCAGTGAGTCTTTTTGGTATATAAAACCTTCAGGCAAAACTCATGTAGTTCTGAGCTAGTCCTACTAATCCCTATGGGATTCACGCAGTTTATTCATTGTAAGGACAGCCTAAGAACAGATTCCTTTCTAACATTCCTGATTTGTCCCCTCTCTCCGGCAAAACATTTTACTGAAACAGCAAGTGGTCACCAAATAGTTAACTTCCAATCATGAGCAAGAGTAAAGTCATATCTAG